ATCCATTTCCCAGGGAAAAAAAAAAAAAGGCAAGCAATCTTCAACACAACAACGCTGTTACTGCTACACCAGTAACACTGCATTTGACTGTGCTCTTTTTAATGATACCAGTGGAAAATCCATTTCCCAGGGAAAAAAAAAAAAAGGCAAGCAATCTTAAAGTCAGAGTTAAAGCAGTAAATAACCAGCAGTAATGGAAGAAAAAACAATTCCAGCAGAAAACAACACTTAAAACAACAATCTGCCTGGGCTGAAGATGTCTGAAAAGCCCAAGATACAATAATGCTGACAACTAAATATAATTAGTATTTGTCTAGCACTATCCAGAAGTCTTAGTTTGTTCCTGGTCGACCTCTTCCAGTTCCTCACATGATCTTATTTTCCATACACTTACTCATACCTAAAAGATTTACATAAAACAGACTATAAGGTCCTTTACCCTTTGCAATGCACTTTCAAAACACCCCAGACAGAAAACTATGGAACAACTTGGCTGAAACACAATGAATGACCTTAGTACAGATTTTTCTCCCTGAAATCCAACAGGCCTCTAAATAACACATTCAGATTTATTTTTTATTTCCTTTTTAAAAACTACCTGGATGCAGCAATCTTACTAAATTTATATAAACTCCAGGACACTTTTACCAGGATCACTGCTCTCCCCTGCCCCCTTAACCAAGCTACTCCTACTTCATCACCCTTGCAACAAATAAAGGCATAATACTGAGGATGCAGTGGCTCATGTTAGCAGCCTAAGGACCAACACATGGTGTGGGGACTAGATGTAGAATATGTCAAATGCCACGAGCTACATGCACCACCCCATTCAAGCAGGATGCTCGAAGCAGGGTGCTCAACCCAAGCAGAAATTGCCAACCAAAGTGTTTTATTATTTAGTGGTTCCCACAGTGACTACAATCTAGACCATATTTTACTCCAGGATATACTCATGGATTACTCTGATCACAGTATTAGCATAGATTCAGTTTTTTCCTCCCTATGCCACGGTCTCCACAACTGTCTTTGTTATGTAGTGGACTTCACCCCTGTTAAACTCATTCTGCAAAACTCCTTTTGGTGAAGTAACATTAGAGAAACCAGTCTTACAAAGATGCTCTACCAATGAGCTTCACCTTCCCTAGGCTCAGATTTGCCTGTGGAACTACAACATCGCTGTGTGCCTTGTGGTTCCATCAGTCCTAACATAAAGACAGTACTTTTCCCATCAGTCTTGAATCAGTGGATGTATTACAATGATCGTGTGGCTTTAACATACCTTCTTTTCAAATTTCAAGTGGTTCTTCACTTGGTTAGGGTTTTTTTGTAATTTGTTATTTTGGTTTGTTGTGTTGTTTGTTTGTTTTTTTTAAATTAGTTTTTACAATTCATCTTTTTCCAGAAATTTTAAGTTGCAGTTACATCTACAACAGATACTTCATAAAGAAGGTACTCTCCTTGAGCTGGTATCCTTATTGTGACAGTTGCCTTATGGGTCTCTGGCAACAGCACTAACCAGTGTTAGGTCTCATGATAACAAGATGGGCCCCTTCCTCCAGGACTAATACAAAGCAATGCCACCCAGATACCAGAACTGCCTGTGTGTGCCTGCATGACCGCTACTCACCTCAACCTAAGATGCTTTTATTTTAAGAAGGTGTCGTGCAACAATATTTGCCCATATTTATTTCTTCCTCTCTCAAATATTTCACTAGCATTTTATGATTTTCAACCATGTCAGGCTCTGCAGGACTTCTGTCCAGTGTCTATTTCTCACAGCTGATCCTAGTTCAGCAGAGAGCTGAACCCCATTGGTCTGGGACAGGCTGGAACGCGACCCAAAAAGCACAGGAATG